GCTGGAGGGTCTGTCTGGATTGGAAAGCCGAAAATCGGCTGTTTCTGTTTCTCGCTTCCTCTCTTCCCAGTTGGCTTTCTTGGAGCCTTCCTACTTTTCTGAGAGCCCCACCCTAATTACCTGTGGACTTGCACCTTGCCCAGGGAATGCAGTCCAGCCTTTGTTGCCCTTGCCTAGTTCAAATATCTAGTTCACTGTCCATATCTACTTCCTGCTTGGCTGCCGTGTTAGCAGTCCGTGACACCCGTGGCCTCTTCCCTACCCACCCCTCCCAGTCCCAGGACTCATTGGACAGCATCTGTATCTCTCGTCACGTGAAATCCCCATACTCTGGGCTTGTGGTGTGATCTTAAGCGGGTGACTGCACCTCTAGACTCCCACACTCGTGAAGCAGCAGGGTTGGGCCATGTGTGTGTCTGCATGTGCTGATTCTTTCATTGAGAAAGGACCTCACTTTCTCTGGCTAGCCTGAAATACAGGATATAGTTCAGGCTAGCCTGGAACTCAGAGGTCCAGCTGCCTTGGCCTCCCAGGTACCACCAGGCCCAGCTCACATGTCCTGTGTAGGATAGTCCAGGCTTCCTTTTTGAGAGAGTATCACTATGTCTCCCTGCTTGGCCTGAGGCTAACTTATTAGACCACGCTGGCCTTAAATTTCTAGGGAATAATCCTCTTGCGCCTGCCTCTCAAGTGCTGGGATTATAAGAATGAGGTTTGGTGCTCAGCCCCTGGCTGCTCCTCCAAAGTCAGGCAAGATGACATTTACTTTGTTTATTTGTTTTGCTTTGGTTTTTTGGTTTTTCAAGACAGGGTTTCTCTGTGTTTTCCCTGGATATTCTGGAACTCACTCTGTAGTCCAGCCTGGCCTCAAACTCACAAGACGTTCACCTGCCTCTGCCTTCCGAGTGCTGTGCACCATCACCCAGCTGTTTGTGCTGAATCTTTGTTTTATCTTCAAGTCTAAAGGGACTTTTCGTTCTCCGCCTTCTGGTGTATGGTCACTCCGTAGGAGCATGGTTGGGAGTGTCTCCTCACTTTTCTGGCACAAATCATTCCCATAAGGCAGGCATTTATTTTAAAGCAAACAGTTACTGTGTGCCAGATGGCGTTCATGCATTATCTCATTTAACCCACTCAGCCGCCACATGGCTCGGCCCATAGAGTAACAGTGTTTTTTGTTTGCTGAGCATCTCCATGGGGCATCTTTTTCCTCACAGCCGTGCTCTAAGGAACAGTTACTCTCCCTGCTTGTCAGATGAGGAAACTGAGGCGTGGACAGGTAGAATGGGCACATCAGACATGAGTGGGTTAATTCAGAACTGCTGTTCCTCTGAAGTTCTCCCACTACAATTCGTCAATACCCTCATTTGCCACATAGGGAAACTGAGGGCCCAGAATAGATGTGCCCTGCACACCCTCAGCTCCAGGCTTCGCTTTGTAAGACTCATGAGGTCAAGGGGCCCTTGCTGGAAGGAGTTTGTGACCTTCTGGTCAGAACCTGTTTTCCTTAACAAAGTCTCCTGCTGCCCCCAACCTGGGGGTCTCTGGAATCCTCCTCAGCTACATTGTTCAGGACCTCATGGAGACAGACCTGTACAAGCTGCTAAAGAGCCAGCAGCTGAGCAACGACCACATCTGCTACTTCCTCTACCAGATCCTTCGGGGCCTCAAGTATATCCATTCAGCTAACGTGCTCCACCGGGATCTGAAGCCCTCCAACCTGCTTATCAACACCACCTGCGACCTTAAGGTCAGAGGCTGCATGCCTGCTTCTTCTTCCCTGGGTGTGGGGCACCACCAGTAGAAGCATCCTTGGTGCATGGCAAGCAAGAACAGCATAGGCAGAGCAGGGGCACTTCCTGGGCTGTGGGGGCCTTAGGCACCTAACTCAGTGGCCTGGGTTTGATTTCAGATCTGTGATTTTGGCCTGGCCCGGATCGCTGACCCTGAACATGACCACACCGGCTTCCTGACGGAGTATGTGGCCACACGCTGGTACCGAGCCCCAGAGATCATGCTTAACTCCAAGGTAGGAGAGCAGCCCACTTTTACAAGAAAGTCTTGGAGCTATCTCTGGGCCTTGGCATAAGCCCTTTGGCACTTGGGCTCTGGCAAAATGTAGAGATTGGAGATTAGAGATTCCCTAGCCTCTGTTCTCTGCCCTTTGCTTGGTGTTGGATCTAAGTTGGTTGTAGTGCTTGGCCCAAATGCCAAGAAGGCACTGATAAGGCTGACCGAGGAGCTGAGCATATTCTCCTCCCCAGGGCTACACCAAATCCATTGACATCTGGTCTGTGGGCTGCATTCTGGCTGAGATGCTCTCCAACCGGCCCATCTTCCCTGGCAAGCACTACCTGGACCAGCTCAACCACATTCTAGGTGAGATGACCTGACTGGCTCACGGTGATGGGAGTTATCGGAGATGACATTTCTGGAGGGTGAGAATTGGGGTACCACATGTGGAGCCTCCCCAGCATCTCACGGTATTTCTGTAAGGTGTTCTTTCCCATTTGAAAGATGGGAAAAACAAGGCTAAGGCCTATACCTAAGGAAGACTGCAGCCAGGATTTGAGCCCAGCACTCCCTGGTCCTCAGCTCCTTGCTTCCGTCACTGCCCCATTGGGTTGATGAGGAGGTGGCTGCAGGTGGCTGAGCTTGGGTTCCTGTTCTTGCTTCCTGACCTGTTCTCAGAAACAGGACTTGACATCTTAGCAAAACAACTGGTTTGTCCACAGGTATCTTGGGCTCCCCATCCCAGGAGGACCTTAATTGTATCATCAACATGAAGGCCCGAAATTATCTACAGTCTCTGCCCTCGAAAACTAAGGTGGCTTGGGCCAAGCTTTTCCCCAAATCTGACTCCAAAGGTGAGTGAGACAAAGGACTGGGGGTAGGCTAGAGCCCAGCGGCAAAGCTGTATTATCCTAACGCCTGCCTCAGTAAATAGGCCCCTGGGCACCAGAGAGGTGCTGCCTATGGGAGCTCCTTCATCTGTTTTCACGACTGCTACTCCTGCCTTGCCTTAGCACTTGACCTGCTGGACCGGATGTTAACCTTCAACCCCAACAAGCGCATCACTGTAGAGGAAGCGCTGGCTCACCCGTACCTGGAACAGTACTATGACCCAACAGATGAGGTGGGCTGGCCACCAGGAGCTGGGAGGGGCATCAGTATCCCCAGTGCTGGCCTGTGCCTTACTGTCTTTGCCCCCTAGCCAGTGGCTGAGGAGCCCTTCACCTTTGACATGGAGCTGGATGATCTCCCCAAGGAGCGGCTGAAGGAACTGATCTTCCAAGAAACAGCCCGCTTCCAGCCAGGGGCCTCAGAGGCCCCCTAACAAGAACAGACACCCCTGTCCCCCGGGACCTGGTGAGTGGCTCACAACGCCCTTGGCTGCCTAGCCTGGGTGCCTCATCCACGTGTGTGGTACCAACAGAAGGGCCAGGGCCTGCTAGTCATTTGCGGCCCACCTAGTCCTTTGTAAACCACTACCAAGGCCCGTCCATCTCCTGCTGTCATCAGTATCCACTGGAGACCCACAAAGGCGAGGGATCCTCCCACTCTGAGGAGTCACCCCAGGCCTTAGGATGGGGTGCACCACAATGGCTTTGAGAGGAGGCCGCAGTCACAGTAGCACTTGGTGGTGGCTGCTGTTGCTGCAGAGGAGGGAGCCAAGACCCACGGACTGATCAAAGGCACTGGTCTCAGGGGCTCAGTGGGGTCTCCCCAGCTCACTTTGCTCTTCTTCCTTCAGGTCCTGCTCCTACCTGGTCCTTCTCTGCAAATCGTTAGTAATGAACTTTGCTCAACCCGGACCCTGGCAGCCCAGGCTGGACTGAGGGTGGGCCTGGCCATCTTCCACTCCGCTGGGATCTCCTGCTTCAGGCAGGCTCCCCTCACCCCAACACCTGCCCCATCTCCCTGGGGCCTAAGTGGTGAGGTGGCCCCAGAGCTGATCTCCGCTGCTCTGCCTTTATCTACCCCGCTAGCCCTGGCTCTGGCAGACCATTCTGGAACGGAAGGGCCACGACTGCCCTAGGACCTGTGCTATAGAGGGGTGGAGGGCACTGAGTAGGGACCCAGGCTAAGCTCTGCCCTACTCAACTTGTTGGAACTCCACCCTGTTTTCCCCGAAGGAACATTCCTAAGTCTCAAGGGCTAGTTTCCCTGAGGAGCCAGGCCAGGCCAAACCCTCTCCCTCTCAAAGCTGCCACATGTAACGCCCTTGCTGCTTCTGTGTGTGGGTTATTGGAAGTGGAGGTGGGGCCCGTGGAGAGCTGGTGCCCCTCCCCACCTCCCTGTGCCTGTATCTAATATATAAATATAGAGATGTGTATATGGATGACCCTGCCTCCGTCTCTGTGTGCCAATGCGACCCCCAGCATGCTGCTTTCACGACTGACCCCTGCATGCAGCTGTGGCCTCACATAGCCACAGTCTTTGGCTCAGCTGGCCAGGGGTGAGGATGGGTTATAAGGTGTTCCAGACTCCTGGAAAGGGGTCAGTTTTCTTTCAGTCACTGTGTTCCCTAACAGCTTCCTGTTTAACTGGCTGGGGTGATTTGTCGTGACTCAGGAGCACCCTACACCCCAACATTCCTGGGAAGTGGCAAAGGTAGTTATAGATCCTGGCCACAAGCACTCATGGAAAACAGGAAGTTCTAAAAATGGTGAGGGGAGTTGCTCACCACCACCCCCCCCACACACACACACAGTCAAGAACAGAAGGGGTGCTGGGATCTACAGAAGGTCTGTGGACATGAAGCCCAGGGCTGCCTGGGTTCCTGTGCCTGCCCCAGCTCTGGGACATACTGCAGTCTGGCCGGGTGCCAGCGGCATAGCAGCAGGCTCAGCAGGTCCTGGGGCGTGGTGCTGCCCAATAGTAGAGCCAGCCTACACCGGCTCAGCGGGCAGACTCAGCAGCAGGCAGCAGCAGACAACAGAGCCTTCTGGGACTGGGGAGGCTGCACTGTGGCAGGCGCCTGCGGTAGGAGTGAGGCTATGATCCCTCTCCTGTACTTGGCTCTGCCCACCCTGGGCAGCTACATCATGCTCTCTTTCTTCTTCTTGCGCCGACCTCATCTGCTGCACACAACCCGGGCTCCCACCTTCCCTATCCGCCTGGCTGCCCACCGTGGAGGTGAGCTGAGTCAGGGAGGCGGGAGGCGCTGGCAGCCACTTGGGGCGGTGTGAGCCTAAGAAGACAGGTGCCACAGTGGGCAGCACATAGCCGAGTGAATGAAATAAAGACAGAGGTGAGGAGAGCCACGGGGGCCTGGGAGGCATGGAGCAGGGAGGGAGCCAGTTCAGCGTGGCTGATGGGAAGAGAGGAAGCAAGTAGGAAACCATCAGGAAGAAAGGAAGACAGGAAGGAAGGTCAGGCCAGGCCCTAGGGACCCACCCAAACTGCCTCACACAGGGTCCGGAGAGCGGCTAGAGAACACCATGGAGGCAATAGAGAAGTAAGTCCGACATGTAAGGTTGTGGGGTGAGCTCTGCAAGGCAACCAAGGGTGCTATTTATCCACTTCCTAATTTGGGTGTCTTGAAGCCCCTGGAATTGTACAGGTGGGGTCATATGTCCCACCATAAATTCTGTCCCAATATCTCCCCTCCACTACATGCCCTGGTTCTTCCCTTGTCCTCTTCCCCCACCAACCTTTGCTCTCATAGTTCCATGGCCCAGCGAGCAGATATCTTGGAACTTGACTGCCAGCTCACACGGGATGGCGTGGTGGTAGTATCACACGACAAGAACCTGTCCCGCCAGTCGGGCCTAAATAAGGATGTGGACAGCCTGGACTTCCAGGTGAGCTCTGCAGCCCCTCACACTGAGAGCTGACACTCGTGCACATGCTTCCTAATGTCAATCTCCGCCCTCCACAGGAACTGCCCCTCTACAAGACAGAACTGGAGATTTATTTCTCACCAGGTAGGGTGTGGACAGCCAGCCCCGCACTGCTTAGCCACCTCTCATATACTCTCCCTACCCCCCCCCCCCCCAACGCTCATCTATCTTACTCTGACCCCAGTTTTTGTGACCCAACTCCCAGGCCATTTTGCCCATGGGTCAGATCGGCACATGATACGGTTGGAGGATATATTCCAGAAATTTCCAAGGATTCCCGCGATTGTGGAGATCAAAGAAAAAAATGAAGAGCTCATCCACAAGGTGGTACTGAAGCCAGGCAGGTGAGGGCAGGTCCAAGAGAGGCCTGACTTCCCTTACTCCCTGTGTTCCCATCCTAGGTAGCCAACTTGGCTAGGAGCTTTGACCGCAGTGAGATTACTATTTGGGCTTCAGAGAAGAACTCAATCATGAGGAAGTGCAAGGCTGCCGTGAGTCCCTCTTTCTCTGCTATGGGGCTAGAAGCCACCCAGTCCAAGGAGCCTACGCTAGAAGGGCCCAGTATGGCCCCTGGAATTAGGTTTGAGCACAGTCCCCAAGAGTAGGATTTGGAGAAGTAGGAGAACGTGACTGTGTGCACTGGTGCCATGAGGCCAGTACTAGGGAACCCCCAGTACTGGCTGTGCTGTTCGGCTGTTACTGTAACACAACCTCAAGAAACACTGGCTATGCTAGTCCGCTGTTATGGTAACGAACCTCAGGAAACACTGGCTGTGTTGATCAGTGTTACTGTAACAGAACCTCAGGAAACACTGACTAGGCTGGTCAGTGTTACTGTAACAGAACCTCAGGAAACACTGGCTGTGTTGGTCAGTGTTACTGTAACAGAACCTCAGAAAACACTGGCTAGGCTGGTCATGGCTCACAGTTTTGGAGACTTTAACCCATAGTCACTTTGTCCCAATTGCTAGAGGTAGAGAGGGCATGAGAAACAGCCACTTGCTAATGGCGGCTGAGGAGTGAAGACAGTGCCTGGTCTGGCTTCTTCCTTTTTCTCCTTTTGTTTCATCCAGACTCCTAGCCTACAGAAATGGCGCTGCCCACATTCAGGGTAGGGTTCCTCCCTCCCCTAGCTAATTCTGTGGAAACATCCTCACACACCCCACAGGTGTGTTTCACCAAACTCCAAGGTACTACTTCTTAATCAAGTTAACAGAATTAACTACTTCTTAATCAAGTTAACAGACTTAACCATTACATTGTTCAAGGTGTGACTTTGATGTCCTGCCCTGGTCCCCTTGGCCCTTGCCAACTCTGCTGGTCCCCGCTTCTCACTTCTCTCCTTGACACCCAGAACCCCGACATGCCAATGGCCTTTACCATATTGCGATCAATCTGGATACTTCTGCTCTACTACCTGGGGCTGCTGCCTTTTGTCTCCATTCCTGAGAAGTTTTTCTTGTGCTTCCTGCCCACCATCATCAACAGGTACCAGGGGTGAGAGGGGGCTTGGAAACACCCTGCTCAGGCCACACTGCCCAGGACCTGTGGAGGAGACCCAGGATCCCCAGTTCCCTAAGAGTTCCCCAAGAGTCTTTAAATTGTGTGTGTGCGTGTGTGTACATATGCCCACCTCATGTGTGCAGTGACCTACAGAGGCCAGAAGAGGGTGTCAGATCCCCCAGAACTGGAGTTACAGGTGGTTATGAACAGCACATGAGTGCTTAGAGCCAAATTCAGGTCCTCTGAATGAACAGCAAGTGCTCTTAACCACTGAGCCATCTCTCCAGCCCCAAGGCCCTTTAGAGAGGGCAGCGTTTGTTTTATTGAGACAGAGTTTCATGTATATTAAGCTGGCCTGGAACTAAGTAGCTGAGGAAGGCACTGAATTTTTAATCCTCCTGCTTCCACATCACTAGAGCTGCGGTTATAGTCATATACCACCACAGCTGGTTCTAGTCAGGGCCAGACACTGAACCCAAGGCTTTTTGTTTTGTTTTGTTTTGTTTTGTTTTGTTTTCGAGACAGGGTTTCTCTTTAGCTTTGGAGCCTGTCCTGGAACTAGCTCTGTAGACCAGGCTGGCCTCGAAGTCACAGAGATCCGCCTGCCTCTGCCTCCCGAGTGCCACCACCCGGTGAACTCAAGGCTTTGTGTGTGCTTGCGGAACAATCTACCAACTGAGTCACATCCTGGCTTGTTTGTTTGTTTGAATTTGTTATGGGATGTGTGTGCCATGGTGTGCATATGGAGGCCAGAGACAACCCTCTTTCCGCCTTTGTGTAGGTTCCGGGGATTGGACTCAGGTTGCTAGGCTTTCATGGCAAGAGCCTTTATTCACTAAGCCAGTGTTTCTCAACCTATGGGTCGAGACCCTTTTGGGGAATGAATGACCCTTTCACAGGGGTAGCCTAAAATCATCAGAAAACACGGGTATCTACATCATGATTTATAACGGTAGCAAAATTATAGTTACGAAGTAGCAATGAAACTAACTTTATGGTTGGGGTCACCACAACATGAGGAACTGTACTAAAGGGGCACAGCACTAGGAAACCACCACACTAAAAAAAGGGGGGTGATCTTTCTTTTTTGAAACAAGGGTCTCACTATGTAGTCCAGGCTCACCTCAAATTCTCAGTCCTCCTGCTTCAACCTCCTTAGTGCTGGGATTATGGGCCTGTGCACTGTAGTTCTTGCCTGGCATTCATGAAAACTAGGGGGTCTGTGACCCCCTGACTTGCAGGCAAGTATGTTATCAGTATGCAGCTGTAGAAGAAATTCACTCACTCAATACGTTGATGGCAAATGTCTCTGGTCAATGTAATTGTAGTAGTACATGATAACGTGGGCAGGCCAGTCTAGGAAATATAACTGCTGTGCCTGGATCAGGCCCTCTGGGCTTACAGCCTGGCTTTCTCCTTCTCTAAAGGTGAGTCAGTCCATTGTGCAGCAAGCAGCACTGTTAACAAAGTAATGTAAGAAGACGTATTAGGAACTAGATACTTCCTTAGCGGGGTGGGAGGGGGCCTGCCTTGTCCTTGGCCTTTCTGACAACTTCTCCAGGATTGTCCCCAAAGCTCTGGTTCCGCTATGTGGTTCTCAAGAAAGCTAGCTAGCCACACAGCCCCTTCCAAAGCATTGCACTGGCAGTGTTTACACAGGGTTAAAGGTTTTCACAGACTGGGGGAGTATTTGACCTTTATCTTATAGCACCCCATCCTGGGAGGGAAGAGGCACGACAGCCCTGTTAGTGTCAGCTATGCTGAGAGTTTCTGTGACTTGCCCAGGGTCACACAGCTTGAAATATTCCAGAGCCTGACCTAGGACATGGCTCTAAAATCACCCAGGGAGGAAAATAAGCCATGACAAGAAGCAGTGTCTCATCTGAAACAGCTGTCCACGTTTGGGCACTGTGTCAAACACCTGTAATCCCAGCACTCATGAGGCCAAGGCCAGAGGGTTGCAAGTTCCAGGCCAGCCTCAGCTATTCTTAAAACCCCACACAGACTCAACCAGGAGGACCCCCGTGACGTCCTGGAATCAAGTTGGTTCCAGGCCCATCGCTGATGCACTTCTGACCCCCACTGTCTAAACTCAGTTCCCTGTGCTGAAGATGGGAAGAGGGACAAGCTCTTAAACCAACGACTCCAGGACACAGTAGGCTCTCACTGAGGGATGAATTATTCCTCCAGGCAGCTTCATAGTTTCTTCAGGCTAGGCCAGGGGTGCACTGGTCAAGGAGTCATTCCCACCACATCCCTGTGATGGGGGTAGAGGGGCACGGACAACACCAAGGAGCTGACCTCACCAGTTCTCTCCACAGGACTTACTTCCCATTTTCCTGTGGATGGATGAACCAGCTGTCAGCTGCAGTTACAAAATGGTGAGGCGGGCAGGGCTGCCGGGTGGAGGTGTCACACAGGGACCTGCTACTGTCCTTTGTCCCCTCTCATCGTTGCCTTTGCTATCCCCATCCTTCCCCAAGGATCATCATGAGGAAGAGTCTGATTCAGTACTTGCAGGACCGAGGGGTGCAGGTGAGGACTCTGACACTGCCCCAGCAAGGAGCTGGTTCCCGGTATATACCTGGTAGCACAATCTCCATCACACTGCAATCGGAGGTGGATCATTTGGGCAGGATCCCACCCCTGAGTCTCAGTTTCTTTGCCTATAAAATGCAGAGAATGAGCCAGGCAGTGGTGGTGCATGCCTTTAAATCTAGCACTTGGGAGGCAGAGGCAGGTAGAGCTCTGAGTTCAAGGCTAGCCTAGTCTACAGAGCAAGTTCCAGAACAGCGAGGAAAGAAACTTGAGAAACACAGAGAAACCCTGTCTTGAGCCCGTTTGAATGCAGAGAATGGTACCTGTAGCTCTTTTGAATGTGCACCTGGGATTAATCAGGGATTGATAATTTAGCGTCTGCTGGAAAGGCCCTGGGAAACCAGGCCCAGCCCACCCTGTTGCTCTGCCTTCATCAGTGGTCTATGGGAATAGTGAAGGCATTTTGGTTTGGGTTTGAGTGTTTTTTTTTTTTTGTTTATTTTTTATGTGTAATAAGTATTTTGCCTATATATATATCTGGCCTGACGTTGAGGCCAGAAGATGGCGTCAACTCCCTTAAAGTCGTGGTTACAGATAGTTTTGAGCTGCCATGCAGATACTGGGATCAAATCTGTCCCTCTGGAAGGGCAGAGTGCTTTTAACTGCTCAACTATTTCACTGGCTCCTTTTTGTTGTTGTTTTGAGGCAGGGCGTCACCATATAACTCCTGCTCTATAGACCAACCTGTCCTCTGACTCACAGAGATCTACCTGTCTCTGTCTCTTGAGTGCTGGGATTAAAGGCATGTGTCACTATGCCTGGTCATGGTTTTGTTTTCATTTTTTTATTGTCTTATTTTATGTGTATGGGTGTTTTGCATGTATGTATACCTGTGTACCACATGTGTGCCTGGTACCCAAAGAAGTCAGAAGAGGACATCAGATACCCTGGAAGTGTAGTTACAAATGGCTGTGAGCCACCATGTGGGTGCTGGGAATCCAAGCAAGGTCCTCTGGAAGAGCGGCCAGTGCTCTTAATCACTAAGCCATCTCTCCAGCCCCTGGTTTGGTTTATTTTTCTTTTTTTTTTTTTTAATGTAGACCAGGCTGGCCTCAAACTCATGGCAATTGTCCTGCCCCTGCCTCCATAATGGTGGAGTTACAGGCATAAACTACTGTGCCTGACCTTGGACATTAAATCAGCAAGCCTCATTGAGATGGTTCCAGGCATCTACCAAATGTGGGGAAAAGAAATGAAGACCGACAACCCCATGCGGGATGTGACATCACAGCTAAGGACAGGAGTCAGTACTATGGGTCATGGGCAGACGGAGGTGGGATCAGGCAGAAAAAGGACAGGGGAAGACAGCTCTTGAGGAGAAGGACATCACAGGTAGGCATATCCGAGCTTAAGCTTGGAGAGCAAAAGTCTGGGCTCAGAAGAACGGGGTGGGTTCCCTAGGCTAAGCGCAGCAGAGGTCAGTTAGGCCTGTGACCCGCAGCACGCAGGAAGGGAAGCCTTTGAAGGCTGGTGCAAGAAACCTGACCTAGACAATTCAGAGTGAGACTCGCTTGTACACAACACGGCGACCCTATGATGGGGGAGAGTGTCATTCATAGCCTGAGGCCATCATGGACAGGAGTCAACCTTGGGTGACAAGAGCAGGGAGCGCCCAGGCTTGGCTCCTGCCTGTCCTGGTGTCAGTGAGGCTCTAGAGAACAGCTCTTCCTTACCAGCCCTCGCTCACCGCTGACCTCCACGTGTTTAAAGATGGGACCCTCATCTGTGAAACCCAGACAGCAGAGATCCGGTGAGCTCCTGGAATCAAAATCCCATGTCATCCAGGTGCCCTGGCTCACACACCTAATCCATGGGAAACTGAGGCAGGAGGATGGTGAGTTTTAGATCAGCTTGGGCTAAATAACACTCCCTGCCTCAAAAGAACAAGACACCTGACTGGAGAGATAGAAGAAAGAAAAAAAAAAGCAAACAGGAAAAAACCCAAAAGACAAAACAAAGACAAACAAGGAGGGCATTGCAATGGCTAAAGGCTTCTGCTATCAAACCTGATGACCTGGGTTTGACCCATAACTCCTACGAGCTATCCTCTGACCCACACACCTGGGATGCTGTGCACCCACCCCCACATAAACAAACATAATCAGATGTTTAAAAATTAAAACCCAGTGGCTGGGGGTGTGGCTCAGCGGGCAGGGCGCTTGCCTAGCAGCCGCAACGCCTGGGTTCAGTTGCCAGCACCAGGTAACACACATAGTGGCTCTCGGTTGAGAGCGCTGGCTGCTCTAAGGCGCACCCAAGTTTGGCTCCCAGCACCAGTAATCAGTGGTTCACAATCACTGTAACTCCAGCTCCCAGGGATCAGATGCCCTCTTCTGGCCTCTGTTGGTAACAGACATAACACCATACCTATAAAATAAATAAGTAAACCTTTTTAACAATTTAAATACAAATAAATAATAAAAAACAACAACAAAAAGCAAAACAGAAACAAAACAACAGGTATAACCTGAGCACCTGGGACACGGAAGAAGAATGACAGAAGTTCGAGGTCACCACCAGCTGCGTAGAGAGTTTGAGGCCAGCTTGGTTACAAGAGACCCTAACAGAGAGACGAGACCTAGGAAACTGTAAAATAATTAGTGATAGGCTGTTGAGTATTCAACTTAAAAAATATATTACATTTGTATGTGTGTGTTGTGTGTACGTGGGGGGGGGGGGGGCACATCCCGCAGCGTACACACAGAGGTCAGAGAGTAAGTTATAGGACTTTCCTTCCACCATGTGGATGCTGGAGATAAATCTCAGGTCCTTGGGTGCCTTTACCTGCTGAGTCACTTCACTGGCCCTGGGTTGTGTTTTTTGTTTGTTTTGTTTTCCAGGGCTTTGGAAACAGTGTTACACCATCGAGCAACATCCCCAGCTCTTGGGTTGTTTGTTTGTGACAGGTCTCATGTAGCCCAGGCTGGCCCTTGAACTCCCTATAGAGCAGAGGGTGTCCTTGAACTTCTTTTCCTCCTGTCTCTTGCTTCTTAGTGCCATAAAAAGAAACAAGCACCCACCACTGCACCCGGATTTCACCTTCTGTTTTGTTTTTCAAGACAGGATTTCTCTGTTTAACAGTCCTGGCTGTCCTCGAACTCATAGAGATCGGCCTCTTCGGCCTCCCAAGTGTTGGGATTAAAGTCGTCCACCTAGCTTTTACCTTTGTTTTTAATAGAATTTCTTACTTGTTTTGAGACAAAGTCATTCTATAACCTTGGCTGGCCTAAAATTTACTGTATAAACCAAGCTACCAAGCTGCCCTGGAACTCACAGAGATTCACCTGCCTCTGCCCTCCTGAGTGTTGAGACTCCTTAATTTTAAGTTCACGCACTTATTTATGTATTTATTTTTGAGACAGGTCTTGCTATATAACTCTGGCTGACCAGCTACTCACTGTAGCCCAGATGGCTTCAGAATCTTTCACCTTCTTGCCTCAGCTTCCCGAGTGCAGGGCTTATAGGCACACACCGCAACACTTGACTCTAAGATCATACAATTTAAGTTTTGATAACAGTTGTGGGGTTTTTGTCTTGGTTTGATTTGTTTTTTGTTTTTTTTGAGACAAGGTTTCTCTGTGTAGTCCTAGCTGCTCTGAAACTCACTCTGTAGACCAGGCTGGTCTCAAACTCAAGAGATCCGCCTGCTTCTGTGTCCCCAGTGCTGGAATTAAAGGTGTGCGCCACCACTGTCCATCAATAATAGCTATGTTTAATAACCAGTCTGAAAATTCCTAAAAAGGTTACCATCAGCTCTAGCTCACCATTGCTGAGAAGTCTGTGCAGAAGAGGGGGTGCCACCTCCTGGAAACTAAAGGAAGTGTTGGGTAGATTTGGAAACTAAGCTGGTCCTTCTTTCCCGCTCAGGTGCTATTTTGGTGCCTTAATGAAGAATCGGATTTTGAAGTGGCCTTCAATCTGGGGGCCAATGGTGTGATGACTGATTTCCCCACAGCCCTGAGACACTACCTAGACAAGAAGGAAGAACCAAAGCCCCCTGCTTCCTCAATCTGAGGCCCTGTTCTCTCTTTAAGAAAAATAAATATTTTCTCGTCATGGATCGAAGGGTTGGAGGGTCAGTCTTGAGGACTAAAAAGATGGGACTGTCACCCAGCATGTAATGCTTACACACCATGAACACAGCTCTGGGTTAGATGCATATTGCGTGGGAGGGCACACAACATCTTTGAAGAGATCAAGAAAACCTGAGATTAGCTGGGCCTGGTAATGAACATCTTTACCTCAGTACCTGAGAGGCAGAAGCACGTGGATCTGTGAGTTAGATGCCAGGGCTACAAAGTGAGACCTCCTGCCCCCAAAAAAGTCTGGGAGGCCTAATTAGGCTGGCCCACTTGTTCTGCTACATTCTACACCCTGTGCCAGCTTGGCCTTCACTCTGAAGCATGTTAACCCAGGTGTCCTGAGCCCAGACTCTAGAGATCACAGATTCAGTGGTTTTCCTGAAGCCATTAAGAGACCCAGGCATACAGGGACCTGATTTCCCTCACGTTGCTGCTGTCGGTCTCCTTTAACACATTGAGCTGCAGCAGGCAGGCATGGGGGATCACAGGCTTCCCACTGTACCAACTGTCCACTTTCTGATCTCCAACACTGGGACTTAACTCTAATGGGTATTCCTGATGCAGTACTTTTCAGGCCTGCTGGGTACTGGGATTCTGCAATGAACACAAGTCTATGTAAGCCAGACACATGTTGAAACAGACATTTCCACTGGGATCAGACCTACAATAGCCTGGGGGCCAAGCATCCCAGAGGATGTCCGGAATAGATGATGTCCAGCAGTAGAGACTGGCTCCTAAAGCTTTGGTTCTGGGAGTCTACTAGCAAAAGGACACCTTTAGGCCTTTCCTTCCAAGAGTCTGCTCCACGTGCTTGGGGAAAGTGAGACTTCCAACTTTGACTCTTACCATCTGGATAATCTCTGGAGAGGATCTCTTCTTCAAACCTCAGAACCTGGTCAAATGGAGAAACTACAGGATTGTGGGAGGGATTACCAGACTGGCCGGCGGATTAACGAAGACAATTACGACTATTTCTCGGGGGGCGGGGGGTGCGTACAGACACCACCTCCTACTAACCCCACGTCGGGTTAGAATCTTTGTCTGTTCGAGCACCAGGGATAGCTATAGGCGAAATCAGGCCCGGGCACCGACTGGCTTCCGAGCTTAGGCTGCGAGTCGCAACCGCATTTCCGGGCGAGCAGGCAAACTGAAGCCGGGAGCAGGGGGAAGGGCAGACCTGCCTGCGCTGGCCGCCGTATGACGCGCCCCCTCATTTGCATGCGGCCCTCCGATTGGCCACGGCGGCCGCCGGGACAGGAGGCCGGCCCCCTCCCCCTCCCGCCGCAGCCGCGGCAGCAGCTGGTCTCGGTGTAAACAAGTCGAGGCGGCTGCGATCCGGGCCGGGGGGGACGGCGCCCATCAGGAGCGCCCCCCACTCCCAGGCCAGGCTACCCCGCGGACCGGGTCCTCCACGCGCCCAGGCGAGGTGAGGCCTGCGCCGACGTCGCTGCGCGTCGCCCCCGCCCCGCAAGCGAGGACTGCCCCTTCCCCCGCGCGCGCCCCCTCCCATCCCCTCGCCCCAGGTGAGCCCCGGGGTCTCAGGTAAGGCTTGGCGACGCAGGTAAGATGCCCTCGGCGCAGATGAGGCTCGGCGCCTCCAGGTAAAAACCCCTCCTCTCCCCAGGGGACCCTCCTCCTTTGATGAGGCCTCCTGCCTCCTCCAGGTGAGAGACCCTTTCCCCAGGCGAACTCCAGGTATCCCACGTTTGCCCTGCCCCTCGTCCAGATAGGGTCCCAAGGACTAGTCAAGCCCCGTACTCCCTCGAAACTAAAAACTGGCAGCCCATCCACTCTGAAGCCCCTTCTTCCCGTTTCAGATGCCAGCTCAGCAGGGGTGAGGCCAGAAGCAGGTGGGTGACTCACCTGGAACTCCTCCTAGCCTCAGTTTACCCGCTGATGCAACCTGAGGCCTCCTCAGTGAGTCAAAACTGAAATGACTCTGGTCCCTGGTGAGACTGCTGGCTCTAGGGAAAGGAGAGAGCAGCCAAGTGTGACAGAGTCCCCATAGTTCTGGGCTTGCCTACAGATGTGTGGCCTTGGTCCTGACAGCCCACCTCTCTTCCCTGGCAGGCACTGGGCTCCCTCTGCTCCCCGTGGGCCGCTCCCCGCGTGGGGCCACTGCCCTTGGCCCCCGCCATGGTGCGGATTTCGAAGCCCAAGACGTTTCAGGCCTACTTGGATGATTGTCACCGGAGGTATAGCTGTGCCCACTGCCGAGCTCACCTGGCCAACCACGACGACCTCATCTCCAAGGTGAGCAGGCCACATTTGAGTCTAGAATGGCAGTGGGCTGCCTGGCAACTCCCCATCGACAGCCCTAACCCCTTCCTCTCGTCTTCCCACTACCCTCCAGTCCTTCCAGGGCAGTCAGGGACGTGCCTACCTCTTCAATTCTGTGTGAGTATTCACCTCCTTCCTTTCTTTTCCTGACCTCTGTTGTGACCTGTGACCCCTGGCATCATGCCCAGCCCATATTCCCAGAGTCCCTTGTTTCAGACAGGAAGCCATGATCAGGCCTGTCTTAGAGCCAAACACAGACACTCAGTATACTAGCTAGAGGGGAGCTCTGGGGTGCTGAGACCCTCCCTGGGACCACCCTTTGTCCCCACAGGGTGAATGTGGGCTGCGGGCCAGCAGAGGAGCGGGTGCTGCTGACAGGTCTTCATGCTGTCGCTGACATCCACTGCGAGAACTGCAAGACCACCTTGGGCTGGAAATATGTGAGTTCGTGATCTCTGACCCCAGGCTGGCCTTTGATCTAACCTCACATCCCTTCTTCCTCGAAAGCATTCACCTTTCAGAGTAGGACCTGGCCCAGCACAGACAAAACAGACTTTCTCCCAGTGACTGCCGTTGGTCCTTTGCATTCTACAGAGCTTTGAGGATGTTCCGCTTCCCTCAGAGGCACCAGTGCCCCATCCTAGAGACGAAGAGCAAGTAGCGTCAGCATTTATTGAATGCTTGTACGCCACGCGCTTGAGCACACTTGGCGTATAGTCTCTCACTCAGTCATCACAGCGGTTCTGATGGCAGAGTCTATTCCGGAAGACAGGGAGGTCTGAAGGTGTTAGGACATTTGCCCCAGATTCCATAGCTAAGACCCTGCATGGATGTGGAAGTTAGGTGCACAGATCCCTGCACCGCTTGCGTAGCTTCTGATGCTGTCTAGCATCTGATTTCACAACCTCAAGTCTCATTTCCTTATGTGGCACTGGAGCATAAAGCCACTAGCTGGGGTGGAAGATCTTTATGAATATCAGATTGGATGTAACAAAGGGGGTGCTTTTGGGAGTGTACAAGGAATTGGGTTGGAAAAAGCATTACTTGGAGTGGTTCTTGTGAGCTGGAGGCCCCAGTCAGAGACAGACAGTCCTAACCTGACTTTACCTCTGGCCCTGCTGCAGATTTTCTGTGTGTCCCTGGACCCTCTGAAGTTCCTAAAAATGTGCCCTAGGCCAGAAGTTAAAAACTCAAATGTCAGCCAGGCAGTAGTGGCACGTGCCTTTAATCCCAGCACTCAGGAGACAAAGGCGGTGAATCTCTGTAAATTCAAGGCCAGCCTAGTCTGCAGACTGAGTTCCAGGGCTGCCCTGAGAAACCCTGTCTTGAAAAACAAAAAACCAAACTCAAATGTCAGCAGGGTGTGGTGTTATATATCTTTAATCCCAGCACTCAGGAAGTAGAGGCAAGTGATCGCTTGAGTTCTAAGCCCACCTAGAATAACACAGTTCCAATACAGCTCGGGATACATAGACCCTGTCTCAAAAAACAATAAAAACTGCCGGGCGGTGGTGGTGCACGCCTTTAATCCCAGCACTGGGGGGGGGGGGGGGGGAGGCAGGCGGATCTCTGTGAGTTCGAGGCCAGCCTGGTCTACAAGAGCTAGTTCCAGGACAGGAACCAAAAGCTATGGAGAAACCCTGTCTCGAAAAAAAAAAATAAAAACCCTCAAATGTCTAGAAAGCCAAGCAGATATTGTGGATTTGTAAATGGGCAGCATAGATTTAGGGCAGGAAAAGCAGGCTGGGGCAAAATGGAGTGAGCATGTATATTTAGTTTAGTATGTAAGTTATATTGTGTTTTTTTAAATGTGGTGCTTGTAACAAATCCAAGCCCTCCCACATGCTAACCATCTCCAACCCCTAAAGTTATTTATATTAGGCGATCTGCTATCTAAACAAAACTATCTATAGGCTGAAGTGGCCCTCAGGCCACCAGTTTGCAATCCCTGGACTGTGAAATGAAGTCTTCTAGGTACTTCCATGGCCTCCCTGTTGGAGCTGCTGTCATTAATGTTCTAAAGGTACCCACGACTCCACATTCCAGTCCCAGTGAGAAACGGCCCTGCCAGTTCTGTGTTTGTGGGCAGGGAGCTGGGCTTCTCTGGGCCAGTTTTTTCATATATAAAACAAGACCAGTCATATCCCTTTCCCAGCCCCATTGCCTAGCGGTAAAAGTCTTGTCCATGGACAGCAGCCCTTTCTCTCCTTTTCAGGAGCAAGCCTTTGAGAGCAGCCAGAAATACAAAGAGGGGAAGTACATCATTGAACTCAACCACATGATCAAAGACAACGGCTGGGACTGACCTAGCTCCTGACGCATGTGGCTTCACCCTGGCCTGGCCGCCAGGGGGAGCCACTGGTTTCGCTCCTCCTCAAAGGAGCTCAGTAACCTTGGCGCCCCCACAGGGGAAGGATCCAGCTCCTGTACATATATTTTATTGCATGCACTGTGAACTTGGGTGGAGACCAGGAGGGGAATTGCACCCCCAGCACCTCCCTGCGATCTGGCTGGCTTGGATCTCATTTTTTAACCCCTTCTTGTCCTGCCTGTCCCATAGATATGGCCTGTGTGCTGCTCTCATGGCCCTGGTGCACTATCTTTCTGTGAACTTCTCCCACTGGATCCCTCTTATCCGCAGCGTGTCTGTTCTCATTCTGTAGCGTTTGTAAATAATAAAACAATGGAATGGAGACTGCCCGTGGTTCACATGGAATACAAGAAGGGGGACCTGGAATTCAAGCTCCTTTCCTATAGACAGGTTACATTTTGAGCCTCAGCAGGAGGGATGGGGTAGGAACAGTAGGCCAAGATGGTCTAACCTTTGACCTCTTGCCAGTGTATGTCTTGGCTTTAGTGCCTAGGAGGCAGCTTCAGGGAAGGCCACCACTTCTCTGGCTTTATATCCATGCTTGGACTACAATTCCCAGCAACCCCAGCACAGGCTCTCTGTGGCCTTTGCGTGCGTGTGGCGCAGTGCTTACTGGGAAATGTAGTTGAAGTGTTTCTCGGAGCAAGCCCTCACGCCTAGCATGAGCTATCAGACTGTGGAGTTGTGCACTTCCCTCAACTTCTGAGACTTGGAAGTTTTTGAAACTGTAAATTAAGTAGCACTCTAGGCTTTAGTCCTCTGCTGCGGTCTCTTGTGGAAGATGTCCAGTGTCTGGCATGGCATGTCTGCTCAGGCACCAACCCTGCACTTGTCCTCCAGTTCACTTCGCAAGGCGAACTTCCAAGTGAACAAACAGAGGGGTCACCTTCCAGAAAGTCTGGGGCTTTAGGGTCTAACCAGATCCAGATACCACCCCTGCCCCCCACCCGGGCTTCCCCCTCCGTGGGAACGGAGACCAGCTGGCCGGAAGCGCCAAACTGCGTCCCTGTCCTAGCCCTAGGGATCAATCAGGCCGAGGAGTTAATTATGTAATGAGGGGGCAGGGGGTCGGGACTAGTGAAGCCGTGAGGGAGAGGGGAGGGTACCCAGGTATCCGGCCTCCTCTTGGACCCCTTCGAGGCCCCAGGGGTCTCCATTCCAGCCCACCTCCCGGGCCCCAGGGAGGGGAGGGGCTGTGATCTCTGGTTTGGAAGGGGCTGTGCTGTGAGCTATAAAGGGGGCATCTCTTAGACTCTGGACTCTAGCAACGGGACACAAGGCCAGAAGCTACAACATGTACCATCCACGAGAGTTGTACCCCTCCCTGGGGACTGGCTACCGTCTGGGACACCCCCAGCCTGGGGCAGACTCTAGCTTCCCACCTGCCCTGGCAGAGGGCTACCGCTACCCTGGTGAGCGGTTGGATCGGCTCTGGGTAGGGGGCAGGAGACTGGGAATATGTGGTCTTCCCCTGGATCCTCATTCTTCCCACATCTCCAGATTTGGATACCTCTAAACTGGATTGCTTCCTCTCTGGGATTGAGGCAGCCCCCCATACTCTGTCTGCACCCCCTCCTTTGCCCCTTCTGCCAACTTCTCTGGGCCCTGAGACAGCACCACCACCTCCAGAGGCCCTTCACTCGCTTCCTGGGGTCAGCCTGAGCCTGGAGAACCAGGAACTGTGGAAGGAGTTCAGCGCTGTGGGGACAGAGATGATCATCACCAAGGCTGGCAGGTGAGGGATGGCCAAGTCAGTTTCTGGAAGAGACAGACTTCCTGGGGACAGAGCTGTGTTTAGGAGTTTCTCCAGGGGTAGTAGAACCCAGAGAGCAGAATCTGACTGGGGCCTGACACTATCTATGACCCTGGATGGATAGGAGTTACACTGTAACGAGGTTCAAGGATCAGTCCAGAGAGTCTGCAGCTGGGTTTGGGAGCCATTCTATGAAGGGTCAGAGAGGTCAGTCTGGGCCTGGGGCAAGGAAGTCTGGATGGGTTATAGGTTGGCATATGGCCTAACTCAGAAACAGCCTATGAAAAGGGGCAAAGAGCAGCCAGTGACCAGTGTCAGAAAATCTGTCCAGGATCAGGGTCAGTATGTGGCTAAGTCCCAGCTCATCCTAGAAGGTAAGTGCTCAGTGTGTGAGCTCTGGCAAGGTCTCTAAGGCCTGAACCCTTGATAAATCCTGTTTCCAGGACCCGGCACCTATTGTTTCTGAGGAAAGTTAGTCTTGCAGCCGCAGGGATCAGCGATGCACCACGGTGGGAGCGAGCGAGCGACTCAGACTCAGGCTTCAGGAAGAAAGCAGTCTCCCGTGTTTCTGCAGAGTTTGAGGGGGACAGCAGTCAGGAGTCTGGGCAGAAGGGGCAAAGACTCTGAGACAGGATGCTAAGGTGTTGTAACAGAATGGAGAGTGAAGGGGCAAGTGGGGAGATGAACCTGCTGGGGCCTGTCAGAGCCCCTAACCTGTCGGTCCCATCTCCCCATCTGTAAAATGGAGTAAGTCTTCCAGCTCTTAGATTCTGCACTTGAGGATCAATTACAGCTCCCTTGCTCTTACTGTGCCAAAATTGAGGTGCCTGTTGCTAGTTCCTTTGCTGGTGCTGGGCTCACTTGTGCTAGTGGGTAGCTCCAGCCCTTTCCATTCCTCCCCCTCCCCTGTGCAGGCGCATGTTCCCTGCTTGCCGAGTGTCAGTCACTGGCCTGGACCCGGAGGCCCGCTACTTGTTCCTTTTGGATGTGGTTCCAGTGGATGGGGCTCGATACAGGTGGCAGGGCCAGCACTGGGAGCCTAGTGGCAAGGCTGAGCCCCGCCTGCCAGACCGTGTCTACATTCACCCTGACTCTCCTGCCACGGGTGCCCACTGGATGCGACAGCCAGTATCCTTCCATCGCGTTAAGCTCACCAACAGCACGCTGGACCCCCATGGCCACGTGAGGCCCAGGCTGGGACTCCTTGGTTGGGTTTTAGGGTGGTACTGGGTAGAAGATAGGCTGGACCCCAGGTCAGAGAATCACCCCATGTCTTCCCTCCCAGCTGATCTTGCACTCCATGCATAAGTACCAGCCCCGAATCCACCTGGTGAGGGCCACCCAGCTTTGCAGCCAACACTGGGGGGGTGTGGCCTCCTTCAGATTTCCCGAGACCACATTCATCTCTGTGACAGCCTACCAGAACCCTAGGGTGAGTATCCTTGCTTGAGGGAGGGGCAGTGCCCCGCCCGAGCTACTGGGGCCTTGACCTGGATGTGTGTTCTCAGATCACACAGCTGAAGATCGCAGCCAACCCCTTTGCCAAAGGTTTCCGAGAGAATGGCAGAAACTCTAAGAGGTGGGCATCATTCATTCAATGGGTGTTTACTAATTGCTTACTGTGTGCCAGGCCCTGGGAACATGATAGTAAGTAGTAAAAACACTTCTCCACTCTTGATTCAAGAAATACTTGAGGTTTCTCAGCCCTCATACGATGGATATTCTAGTGGGCAGTGCAGCAGACAAAACCAAGAGAAACCTAGGATGTTCTAGTGAGCAATAAGCCACGGGAGGATGGGAAGGACTGGAGGACGCAGCAGATAAAAGGCACCCTGAGGACATTAGAGAAAGACCTGAAGTAAGGGGAAGATACCATGTGGGTGCCTGCCAAAGCAGTGCAAAGGCCCCGAGGCACAAGTGTATTGCAGTGAGCAGAAGGAAAAGCAAGTCAGGGAAGCGACTGCTTACCAATGAGAGACTTGGGTGTGGGCCTGGGGAGAGCCTCTGGTCTACCCCAAGACAAGTGACTGGCTCACTGGCTCACATGTAGACAGTGGCACGTCATGAGGGAGGCTTTCCTGCCTGCAAAGTTAGGTGCAGCAAGGCTCCAGAGAGGCTGCGATATGGCCGACGGCCTGGCCTTTGCAGTTGGGAAGGTGCTGTCTCGGATCTTAATACCCACGGGGGAAAGCACTGACGAGCCAAGTCCAAGTCAGAGAAACCTCTGCTCTGCTGCCTTTTAGTGGCTTCTCTGGCCTTCAGTTTCTTATCTGTAAAGTGGGTATAATATAGCACCTGCCCAACAGGGTGCCTGGGAGAGTTAAGTACTATTAGTGCTACCATCATCATCACCATCATCATTCCCCAGGGAGCGAGATGCTCGTGTGAAGAGGAAACTTCGGGGTCCAGAGCCGGCGGCCACAGAGGCCTGTGGGAGTGGGGGTGAGTGCCGTCCTGATGGTGAGGCCAACTTGAGACACTGAGCCTTCCCTAGCCAACCTGTGCCTTCTGTCTCCTCAGATACACCAGGGGGGCCCTGTGACTCCACCCTAGGTGGGGACATTCGGGACTCAGATACAGAGCAGACTCCAGCTTCTGCTCCAGCTCCTCCATGTGGTGGTCCCAGTGCTGAGGCCTACCTCCTACACCCTGCAGCTTTCCATGGAGCTCCCAATCACCTACCAGCCAGGTAAGGTGCTCCAGGAGGGCTTGGTGTTCCAGGACGGGTGGCCTCTCCTCTTCTGACACCTCTCTCCTGACTTCAGGAACCCCAGCTTCCCTGAGGCTCCAGACCCTGGGCGCCCAGCCCCCTACTCAGCTGCATTCCTGGAGCTACAGCCTGGATCAGGGGGCTCTGCCTATCAGGCCGCTCCATCCTTTGCTCCACATTTCATTCAAGGGGGCCCCTTCCCTCTACCATACCCAGGACCTGGAAGTTATCTGGACATGGGATCCAAGCCAATGTACTGAGCTGAGTAGTAAGCCAAGACAGGGCCTATGCCATCTTCCCTTTAAAACCTCCTGCTCCCTTCCCCCAGCCTGGTAGCACCCTCATTCAAGTGCCCCCACTACCACCAAATGGCTGCCTTGGGCCTCTCTCTCCTCTACCCCTTACTTCACACCTTGATTTCACTCCACCCCCTCTGGCTTCAAAGCTCAGGCAAGGCTGCTCAGAGCCCAGCTGGGGCCAGCTTCCCCTTCTCAGCTCTCACCTCAGTGTGAATGGAGGGAGACTTTGCCTGGCCAAATGGGGCCCAGCCCAGCACCCCCACCTCCTGGGGGCCTCATCACTGGTGTAAGTCACACCAGTTTGTTCTCAGGATCAGAGTATTTTTTGTTAATAAAACTCCAAAGACTCAGAAACTAATGGTGTTGGCCCTGGGGGAGCCTGGGGGAGCCACAATTGTAAGGGGAGACCCAAGCAGTTTCCAGATGCTTGCCCTTGTGGATGTGAAGTAGCCTGCTCAGGAAGATGGGTAACTTCCCTCACAATGGCTGTTTAAGAATTAAGGCTGTCCTGGAACCTGGCCTTCACCCAGAACCTGGGAAAGATCACCAGATGGAGCCTAAAGGCTCTGTGCCAGGGGACAAACAGGACAGGTTTCCATGTCCACCTCGGTCAAACCTGACAGAAATCCCAGAACCCCAGTACTAGTTTTCTTGTTTTATTAGAATTTTTTTCTTTTTTTTTCTCAAAATGTTTTATCTAAAAACAAAACCAAAAAAGAAAAAAAGAAAAAAAAAAAAAAAAAAGGAAAAATGACTGGAAAACTTCACGGACAAAGTGGGAGAAGGAGAGAAGCCCGGAGCAGAAGCCCCAACCTCTCCAGAGCAGTCCGCACCCTGGGGCCAGCCAAGCCAGGCAGCCCCTCCACACCAGCCTCCGCCTGGGAAGAGGGCAGTCACAGTGGTCCAAGGGCCAGAGGGGCTGGGGCCAAGGAGTCACAGGAAATAGTCGGCCACCGGCTTCTTGGAGGGGATGCCACGTGTTTCTTGGGGTGCAGCCTCAAAGATGATGAAATCTTTCTGGAGATGCTCATCCAGTTCCAAGATGGCTGCCACATTCCCACAGCTGGATTTGGGAACAGCACCGTTAGCAACAGCGGCCTAGATGTCTACCCTCACCCTAGCTCCTGGTCCTGCCAGCTTACCGGTAGCAGTAATTAGGTGCTGACCACACAGTAAGCACGGTCTCATTGAAGTGCCACTTGTAACCTTCCATCACCAATTGGTGGGCACGGCAGATCATGTCAATGTCATTGGCTGCATTGAACTGGGCCACCACATCACTGCCAAACAGGTAGCCTGCCCCACGGGGGCTCACTCCCCAGCCTGTGGTGTCTGAGACAAGACAAGGACAACATGTGGGCTTCTCTGGCTAACTACTATACCAGAGTTAAAAGCCTGTGCCTCTTCCTTCCCTCATCAACCTTGCCTTCTTCTAGAAAATCCTGGAGACAGGATAGCTCTGAGGAGAAAGACTGCCTCATGGCTGGCCTCCTCATCAGCGGCCATAAAGTGGACTGTCCAAGCAGCACTTAGTGATAGGAGGCGCTCACAGCCAGAGCACCAACCATCAACAAGGACTCCTGGCAGTAAGGTCACTTTAGCCCCATGGGGCAGACTGCAGTAGCAATGATGGGACTGGAGGGTATGCTTAGGATTGGTATGCAGAAAGCCAAGCTTTAAATTTCAGTTCTGCCTCAAACAAAATAAGGAACCCTCAGAGGTCACTGTTCTAGGGAAACTAGTTTCCCCTCCAGAGAAGCTACTGTTAAGGTCTAAGGCCTCTTTCCACCCTGTGAGCCATGAAACCCAAGGCCACCACTAGAGGCCTCAGTACACCACCACTCATGCTGTCTGCTCTTATGGAGGGTCCAGTCAGGCAGTGGAAGGCAGAAACCAGTGTGGACCAAACTTGCCCTTCTCTTCCCTGCCCCGACTCTCCTCTCTTGTCATACACTTGCTTTATCCAGTCTCCACAGCTAACGGGACAGCCAGTGCAGGTACCGCCCTCACCTTCAGGGTCAGACCACAAGAGGTCACACATGGGTCCATCATGGGGCACCTCTTGCTTCCGGTCAATCGTCCGGATCTGGTCCAGGGTCTGGATGGAAGGGGAGAGGCCCCCATGCACACAGAAGATCTAGAAGGGAGTGTAATACCACAGAGAATGGAGGTGGAAGCCCAGAGTCCCACCACTGCCCCGCCCCCAAGGAGATCCGGCCAACCTACCTTGCCATCGATGATGGCAGACAGGCTGAGGTAGTCAAAGATCTCAGTGCAGTAGCGCCAGACAGTCACTGAGCCATATTTGCGCAAGCACTCATCATAGAAGCCATAGACCTGGGTGATCTGGCGGCTCTCGTGATTGCCCCGGATCAAAGTGATGCGGTCAGGATATCGAACCTAGAGGCAGCACAAAGCCAGGACTGGTTATAGTCTCCATCCCCCACTTGGCCCCTCCCAAGTCTCCAAGATGTATCCACCAGCCTCACTCAGTCTTCACCATGATCTGCCTAACCTAGACTCCTGTTATCTCTTACATAATCATGGTGTCCCTGCCTCACAGGCTCCTAGGGGCGTTTTCCAGAGAACTACAAGACCAATGATTCCTCTCACCTGCCAGACTCAGGCTCCAGTCCTCAGTGCCCCGCCCCACCCCGCCCCGCCCCACCGTGGCCGCTCACCAATGAACTCTCCCAGTTCACTCAACTCCTGCTGCTCCCCGAACACACGGCCTCTGCCTGCTTCCCAGAACTCACATCACCAGCCTCTTCCTCAAGGCTCAGGAGACGGCCCCACTCATGGCCGCAGTCATGACCAGCCCCGCTAAGCACACAGTCCACAGCCACAGCAAAGCTCCAAGGTAGGTGACAGGGAGGGTGATGAGGGCAGCAAGTAGTGGCCAAGGCTCATGTTCCAGGGGTCAAGTGTCCTCACCTTAAGAGCCAGCAGGAGGAGGAAGGTTTCAACACTGTAGAAACCACGGTCCACAAAGTCTCCCATGAAGAGGTAGTTGGTCTCAGGGACATCGCCACCTACCTGGGAGGAGGGATATGGCTCTGCTTGGCCCCAAACTATCCTCTCTGGTTGCAGTGGCCAGAGTCTAGCTGAGCCCCTTGTCTCACCCAGAGACCATGCAGCCTAAGGCCTCTCAGAGATCATGTCCTCCAGTCCCCCCTAGTTCACAGCCCCAGTGTCCCCCCACTCACTCTGAAAAGCTCCTTGAGGTCATAGAATTGTCCATGGATGTCACCACATACCTGGGAAAGAAGAATAGGTAGACAGAGTGGACAAAGGCACAGTCTTTTTGTTCCCAGGGATCATCTTTCAAAACATCTGTTACACTCCAGGCCAGCCAGGGCTCTATCACTCCATCTTAGGACCCAAATTCCACCTCTAGTCCCAAGTGAGCCTGTTCTGGTATCATCTATTGCCCCTCAGTGAAAGCCAAACGCCCTGGTGCAGGAGATGAGTTTTTCCAGGTAGACCTGCAGCAGCGTCAAGAAGACTGGCTTCATCTGTCTGCCCCTGTATCCAGCACAGTTACTAACACAGGACTACTGTTTCACAAACTTCTGCCTTGGCTATGAATGAGCACCCCACAACAAATTGCAATTCCCGCAGCACCTTTTATGTTCTTGTGCTGCGCAAGCTAGAACTCAGGGCCTCATGCATACTGGGAAAACACCCCATCACTAAGCTGCAAACTTGCCCACCATCTAATCTTATATCAGGGCTCACCTGAAAGTCGAGAAGCAAGAGGCTAGGGATGTTCTAGCCTCTCATAAATTTAGAGGTGGGGGCTGTTATCAAACCACTTAGGATGTTCATGTCCTCAAAATACCAAGTCAGGCTCCAAGAGACAGAGTACTCACTGTGACTGGCGAGTCCACCCTCTGCACGTTGCTCTCTTCTACCAAGATCTCTCTGGAGACATGAGAAGACCAGGGTCACCAGTCAGGCCAGCCCAGCCCAATTCCTGACCTTTTTTGGAGGGAGGGAGGACATGAGGTAGTCCTTGAACCTCCATGGGGCAGAAGGAAATCCCCATGACTTGGTCAGAAAGCACTGACCATGGCCTTCCACCACTCAATACCTGCAGCCAAATGGACCAAGTCCAAGTTCTCACCCCGCCCCCAACCGCCATTCAAGTCCTTCCAAACAGGCCGGGACATTTCCAGCCTTGATTCTCCCAGTGGTTTCCTCTCAAGAGGAGAGCTCACACCCCTGGGAGGGAGGTCCCTTTTCCTTAGAGCAATGACTCTCCCTAGGTTGAGCTGACCTCACTCCCTACCAATCAGAGCCCTCCTCTCAGGCTATCCAAAGTAAGGGTAAGGCCCAGGGCAGGGTGCCCCAGATGCACCTTTTCAAAGGGTTGTGTTGCTCCTTCACTGTTGGCAATTAAAAGGGGGAAAAACAAAAAACAAAAAAAAAAAACCACTCATTTTGTATCCCTGGCTAGCCTGGAACTTGATGTGTAGACCAAGATCGTCTCAAGGACAAGAGATCTACCTGTCTCTGCCTCCTGTGTGCTAGGATTGAAGGACTGCACTACCGTAGCATGAATTTACAGCATATGGAATTGGCTCTAGTTCTTTTTTTTTTAAAGATTTATTTATTATGTATATAACATTCTGCCTCGATGTATACCCACATGCTAGAGGAGGGTGCCAGATCTCAGTACAGATGGTTATGAGTCACCATGTAGTTGCTGGGAATTGAACTCAGGACCTCTGGAAGAGCAGCCAGTGCTCTTAACCTCTGAGCCATCTCTCCAGCCTCCTGGCTCTAGTTCTTGTAGTGTGAACTACTTCTCAAAATCCCTTCGGCAGTTCCTGCAGTCCACTCTCAGCAGCCCTCCCATCTCCAAACCTGAGCTTAAGCACAGCACTAAGCTCACACGCAGGTCAAGACAGTATAGACAACTGTGTTAGGGTCAGTGTCATGGGATGGCCAACACTGGGCAGATCCCAGGATTCCCAGCACAGAGATGCTGAGCTCAAGACCAGCCTTGTTCAAGGCCAGCTAGAGCTAGTGGGAGGAAACACCGCAGACACAGTCTCTATCTCCACCCCCCACTCCCTGCCACACAGGATTGGAGGGCAAGGGTGAGGACCAAGCTACTGTTCCATTAAACAGGGTAGAAGCCACACTGAAGCAGTTCCCAGAAGAGGCAGGTAACTAGCCTCAAC